AGAAGACTGTTCTAGCATGTGGGAGGATGGTAATAGCTTATGAGTTTTCAATTAATTGTTGTCTGTTTTGATATTTCCAGGAGTGTCACTTCAGACAGAATTAACTGAGATACTACAGTGGTGTCTTGTTAGTATCATCTATGCTGTTACAGTTGCAAAATAATCCTGACCAGCTTCTACAAACTCCACTGTAAGCAGGGAAGCAGGGCTGGATCTGGTGCAAACTCTGTGATTATACTTACACAGGTTATTTTGCCACAGGAATCTTCCCTGAGAGCTGTGGTGGGTGTCTGGGTGCAAGAGGCTGTGGGTTCTCTGGGCTGCTGTGTGCTGGGGGCACCCAGATTAAGTATTTCTCTCCATTTTTGGACTGCTAAAAGCTTCTTAGATCACTTAATATGGCTTATGCACTTTTCATACATTATATAGGATCACAGAATAATTTGGGCTGGAAGGGACCTTTAAAAGTCATCTAATTCTACTCTTCTGCCCTTGGTAGATCTCCACTGGATGAGATTGCTCCAAGCTCCATCCAGCCTGGCCTTGAACACTTCCAGGCATGGGGCATGCCCAGCACTTCTGGGCAGCTTGTTCTAGTGCCTTACCACTCTCAGAGTTAAGAATTTCTTCCTAATATCAATGTATAAGTGTGAACTCATAACCAGTGACAGGATGTTTGGATTCAGAGAGCAGCAGAAATGCAAACTTCAGCAGAAGCATCTGGGGTGCTGTCCTGGGATGGTTATAAGATGCTTGTATCCCCAGTTGTCTGTTCTGTTTATACAGAATAGTAAGTTTTACACCTTTAAGACTTGTTCTGAGAGTGAAGCGGGGAGAGAAGAAGCACAGAGTTTGTTTCCAGAAACTGCGCTCACTCCTCCACATTCCTGCTCCTGGACTGTGTTGTCTGTAGATGGACAGACAGCGGGACAGAGCTATCCTTTGCTTTTAGTTAGTTTTAGCTAGCTGAGGCAAAGAAGTTCCCTGGACTGTGGTTTTTTTCCCTTTCTTTGGACCTGCTCTGGACTGAACACCAGAAGAGCAGCAGCAGCAGTACCAGTGGACCGGGCCTGGGCCGCGGCATTTCTAGTGCCGGAGGGACTGATCAGAGATTGAGTGAGCCCAGCTACAGCCCAGGGAGGGGAATTTCTGAGTTTGTCTCTCTTTGGCATGGCAAGAAGTTTTATTATTTAATACTGTTCAGGTTTTATTGTTTAATAAACAATTTTTTCCATTTTTCTCCAAAGACGTATTTTTCCTGAACTGGCTAGGGGAGAGGCTGATTGACTCTGCTTTGTAGAAGAACCCATTTTGGGGTTCTCTCCCAAATTTTCCCTGAACCAGGACAGGGGCTTAACCTGTTAGAGACCACCAGGGAGCAAGGCCGGCACTCACAGCTCTGCATGACCAGCCAAGGAAGGACTGAAGATGTCAGAGAATGAGAACTCCAGGCATGGCCTGGGGACAACCGCCCTGCTGCAAGGCAGGTCTGTCTTTGGAGAGACTTTGCACCCACCCTGTTGGAGATATGTCCACGTATCTGTGTCAGCTGAGGGAACAGACTGCTTCTCACGAAAAGCAGTGAGCTGGGAAAGGGCTTGGTGAGGGCTGTAACACAGAGAAAAAAACATAAAAGGAAATGTCAGGCTAAGGTTATATTTATCCTGTATGTGACAATTGTAAGGCTGCTGCTAGAGTAGTGTGTTGCCAAGGATGATGTTGGAGGGGGGAGATTCAAAGAATGGACACAAAAAAGGATCCAGAATGAGGAAGGGATTATTAGAACTGAGCTATTCAGCTGTTTTGAGAAGGGGAAAGAGATCTTACAATCTTTTAGATGTATATATCTACACGTGAAAAAGTGCTGGTTTGGGGGTTACTTTTACAAGCATAAATTAATGGGAAAAAGGGAGGAAGACACTTTAACAGGGTTGCAATCTGCTGTCAGCACTGTCTGAGGCTGCCCATTTGCTTTTATAGTGATACAAGAGTTACACCCACACATTTCCCCTTCCTCCCTGCAAAAAAGGTGCAACTCCTCCAGTTTGGCTCTTCCATTCTGCAGACAGCAGGTTACCAGGATTCAGTAGGTAGAAGCTGAACTCTGACAGACTTGAAATGGGACAGAATTTTTATGAAATAAGGTAATTAACAGCTGGAATGACTTGTCAGGGGAAATGCACAGGCTCCTAAAATGAAATTGTCTTTCAAAATAGGCTGTAATCCAGTTGGAGAGAATAGCTTTATGCTCTGTTTATGCAGAAGACCAGACAAAAAATAGAGGTTCCTTTCACCTCTACAGTCTATGAAAAATACTCCTGATGTTTATATACACTTCAATTCCTGATCATGCTGACTTTGCAGTAGTGTGTGCTCCCAAGCTGACTCAAGGCAGGATGTGGTGCTGCTCCATTTGCTACTTGTCAAATTTGGCAGTTATAGGGAGGAGGGGAATGGATCATTTGCAAAAATTAAAAATGCCTTTCCCTCACTTCTCTTTTCTAATACCAATCAGTGTAGCAGCTAGAAAGAAAAGAAAAAAGAAAAGGAAAGGGAAAGGGAAAGGGAAAGGGAAAGGGAAAGGGAAAGGGAAAGGGAAAGGGAAA